GGGGGGGTTAAGTGCATGGCGTGCCTGCAGCTGTTGGGGGAGCGGGTGGCTGCCTCAGTGTGCCAGCCCAGAAAACGGGCCGATTCAGCCCCCCTCCTTGCATTTGGGGGGGCTGCTCAGGCAACACAACACACCTCGGTTAACGTGGGGGGGGGTTAAGTGCATGGCGTGCCTGCAGCTGTTGGGGGAGCGGGTGCAGGCGTCAGTGTGCCACCCTAGAAAATTGGCTACTTCCCTTGGCACGCTCACCGGCCCGCCTGCCCAGAGCAGGGCTCCTCAACCTTAGCCGCTTGAAGATGGGTGGGCTTCAACTCCCAGCAAGGCTGGCTGGGGCATTCTGGGGGTTGAAGTCCACCCCCTGCAAGGGCCCAAGGTTGAGAAACACTGATATAGGTGCTTCGACGGCTTGTGATATATAATGGAGCACCAAAACCCGGCACCGTTTTTCAGAGATGGACCTTTTGCTCGCCACTCAGATTTCGTGGGGAACCGGGCGGGTTGTGATGGGAAGCGTGGACCCCAAGGAAGGGTTGTGATGGCAGGCTAAGCTTGGCGGAGGGAAGATGCCAGGGGACCCCCAATGGAAAGGAGGCGTCGAGAAGCGGCCTTCCGCACCTGGCCCCTGCTAGGCTGGACATCCTGGGTCAGCCCAGGGTGAGGGCGGGTGTCCTCTCGCAGCCCTGGAGGCCGTTGGAACCCGCCACCTCGATGGGGCCATGTTGGTGCCGCTGGCTTGCTAACAGAAGAGAAGGTCTCCATGGAGTCCTTGATGCTCTTGAGCTGGGGTTTGGCTGCTAGACGTCTCATGCCCCCACCAGGTAGCCTCCCTGGTGATGTCCTCACCAGCCCTGATGCTGCTACCTCGTGGGGTCAGGAGACGTCTCCAGCCACCCCTCCCGACCGGCTCAGAGAGAGCCGCAGGACTCCTCGCTGACCGAGTCCTCGTCCCCCATCCACGCCGTTCCGAAATGCGGAGCCATCCTCGGCTTGCAGCAGAGCGCGGGGAGGGGGCGTCCTGCTGAACCCCCGTCGAAAGGATCGGTGAAGTCTGATCTGGGGGAAAGAAGGAGCTTCCGCTGGCGGGGCGCGGGAGCCAGCGGAGGGTCCCTTCCCCGTCCTGGCCGCGCGGCTCCAGGGTCCCGCCCCGGGTCCCGCGGAGGGCAGAGGCGGGGGCTGGCTCCCGTGCCAGGGGCGAGCCGCGGAGGCAAGGC